ATTTATCAACCAACAAAAACAACACACATACAGAAGGATAGCCCACATCAGATATTTCCATGACACATTTATCCTTACAAACATTTTACAATGCAGGCAAAGCAAAGCATTGCTATGGACACTGCCTGTAGTAAATAAAACTGAGAAGTTATCAGGATACATGTCAACCATGCAATTATGCACTTGTTTGAGTTTTTCTGAAGCAGGATTCTCTGATTTAATAATGTCCTTTTTCCAGTTACATCATCAAGGGCAAATAGCTTTAACCGGATGTGAAGATGTGGACCTCTTGGTATGGGGTAACTGGAATGCCATGCCATAAGAATTCTGAAACACTTTGTAGCTATAACAGCAAATAAACAAACAAATAATTTTTAAGAGAGCCATAATAAATTAGCAATGCCTGCCATTGACACATGAGGTGGGGGAATGATGATTACTTGAATGAATTTTTAAGGAACTCTGGCTGAAGAAAATGGGAGATGTCTGAGTCACATTTTCATCAGTTCTAAAGGTTCATTACTGAAAATGCCAAAGTGATGACATTCTGCCAACTAAATTGCCCCCAAATAACAGGAGAATAAAGTTATTTGTCCCTAACACCAGCTTGCGTTTCCTTCACTACTATATTTGTTTCATCCACAAAAACAAAATTCAACCTAGGTTTAAATCTTGCCCTCACTTGTGGCCTATACCTGTTCCAAAAGAGGATTTTTGTTATTTTGTCTTTATTTTGTATATTTTGTCATAGTGTGAATCGAACCCAGGGTCTCATGTATTGTTAAACCACTCATCTGCTTCTCCAGCCCAAGAAGTAATGTGTCCAGGTGTGGATGTATTTTTAGAAGCTGTGTTCTCACCCACAGGTTTCCTCATTTTTAATTATAGAATTGTGTGTGCACAGTTTTCTTTTTAAAGCTTAAAGAACAGTAGGTTTTCACATGAGTTTTGAAAGCATCCTTAGTGTTAGCTATCCATTCTTATAGCCTCTCCTCTACCCTAACCCAAATCCCTCCCACTTAGTCATTCCCATTCCATGATTCTAATTTCTCCTTTCATATCTTGTGTGTTCTAATGTGCCCTCATCTAAGCTCTTTCTTACTATCCCCCACAGACTCTGCTTTGGTTCCTGGTTTCTACCTTCACTCTGTTAAACCTATAGCTAGGATTCACATGTGAAAGAGACATGTGGTATTGCTATTTCTTGGTCTAGGATACCACAAACTGAGTATAATCACTTTCCATTCATTTACCTGAAAATTTCAGGTTTGCTTTACAACTGAATAAAATTCCATTGTGCAAATGTACCAGATATTCAATATACATCCATTAGTAAATGGACATCTAAGCATTTTTCCATTCCCTAGCTTTTGTGAATAGATTAGCAATGAATATTGGTGCCATACACAGTCCTGCCACTTCAAGACTCAAATGGAAGAACTGTAATAATTTCTTCCTTTTAAATAAGTTAATCCATTCTACCAACAATGTTTGTGAGCCCCATCGCAAAGCCAGGTGTCCTGATGAGCTACATTAGTATACAAATAAAGACCAAGTTACTGCTTATGGAAATTAAAGTTTACAGTGATAAACAGTAAATAGTGGAATGAATAAAGTTGTAACTATAATACAGCATTAGGAGCCAGAAAACCATTTACAGAAACCTAATGGACTGGAAATCGATAGATGGTATTACTAGTTTGTATCTCCCAGTATCTCAGCAGTGAAAGCTTCTTGATCAAATGGCATTTAATAGAAACATAGAAGTGGGGAGTGATCGAATGGTGTGAAATAATAAGATGGGGAGGAGAAAGATGGAGCGAGCTGCTGCTGCGGAGGCCCAGAGACGCTCTGTTGGTATGTGCAAACCACAGCAAAAAGGCAGACGTGACTGGCATAGATCAAAGTACAAGAGAATTAGGATAGGTCCTTTGCAAGACCCATGGCTTTAAAACACACGATTATCTATTGGACCTCCAGTGAGACCCAAGGATGAAATGGAACGGCATTACAAAAAGTCATTGCCATCCCCTGTGATATCAGGGAGAAGTGTGAGCTAGTGAGAAATCAAGATGGCTTTGTGGATTAACGTTCTTGACACAAAACCTTTCTTGACCTGTTTCCCACCACTGAAAACAACCATAGAAGGGGAGGATTAACTATTCAAAATGGGCACATAGCATATGCATACACACACACACACACACACAAATTCTTTATATACACACAACACAATAATAGTAAATAAAATTAGAAGTTTAAAAAGAAGTCTGCTCTAATTACACACAATCCCCCGAAGGCTCAAAGATCTAGAGGCCATCACAGAAGAGAGGCAAGAGGAGAAAGATGCTGACAAGAACAGGAACAAAACAGTTTCTTCTGAACATGAGAAAACTCTGAACTTGTGAGCTCAGAGCAGCTGAGGTTGCTTCATAGGCTTGAACAAGAGCATTCCAGTCAACACTCAGCTTGCAAGCGAATGGACTCATAAATTCCTTCCTCTAGCAAAAGAGAAACTGGCCCTTGATGGCTTCCTGGGGAAGGAAAAACAACTTTCTTTAAGATTATAGGCCCTGGTAGGCAAACAAGGTCCAGTGGATGATCCCATACCATAGATAAACAAATTCTTGAGTTACTTTTAAAAAAGAAAAAAGAGAGGGAAGAAGGAAGGAAGGAAGGAAGGAAGGAAGGAAGGAAGGAAGGAAGGAAGGAATGAAAGAAAGAAAGAAGGAAGGAAGGAAGGAAGAATAGGGAACAGAACAGATCTGGGAGGATTCTGAAAGCATAATATTATCAAAATATATTGCATGCCTATATGATAGTTTCAAAAATTAATTAATATATATATCAATTAAATTAATAAATTAAATTGAAATACTATTAAATTTAAAGTAACTAATTAATTAAAACAAGTAATGAAAGAGTATATAAAGCTCAATTTTGGGGATGTTCCAACCTTGTCATGAATTTTTCATTTTTATTTTCTAGTGGATTGGTGCATAATGATATATTTAATAATGGAAGTGTGAAACACAATGTGAAGCTCTACAGCTTAAGAATGGCTGTTCTACAACTCTGAGATTCCATTTTAAACCTGTAAGAATGGCCAAGATCAAAAACACTGATGACAACTTATGCTGGAGAGGATGTGGAATAAAGGGAACATTCCTGTATTGCTGATGGAGTGCAAACTGGTATAGCCCCTTTGGATATCAGTATGATAATTTTTCAGAAAATTAGAAAACAACCTTCTTCAAGACCCAGCAATACTACTTTTGAGTATATACCCAAAGGATACTCAATCATACTAACAAGGACATGTGCTCAACTATTTTTATAGCAGCATTGTTTGTCATAGCCAGAACCTGAAAACAACCTAAATGTCCCTCGGCTGAAGTATGGATAAGGAAAATGTGGTACATTTACACAATGGAGGACTACACAGCAGAAAAAACTAAAGACATCTTGAAATTTGCAGGCATATGGATGGATCTAGAAAACATCATACTGATTGAGATAATCCAGACCCAGAAAGACAAACATCATATGTACACACTCATAAGTGGATTTTAGACATAAAGCAAAGAAAACCAGTCTACAGTTCCCAATCCCAGAAAACCTAGACAACAAAGAAGACCCTAAGAGAGACATATATGCATCTAATCTACATGGGAAGTAGAAAAAGACAAGATCTTCTAAGTAAATTAGGAGCATGGGGACTGTGGGAGAGGGTAAAGGGGGAAGGGAGAGGAAGGGAGGGGAGCAGAGAAAAATATATAACTCAATAAAATCAATAAAATTTTTTTAAAGAATGACTGTTCTAACTACACAGAAGTCCACTGAAACAGACAGACTTTGGGTCTGGCTAATCTCACCATGTGATCTTTTTTATTTGTAAGTTATTTACATTGAAATTTTAATCTTTAATAAACCCAGTAAAAACCAGACGTAGTGATGTGCACAGTAATCCCCACTCCGTCAACTGATAGAAAGGGATTGTGAGCTTGTACCAAGTCTGGGTGCCTTGAAAATCCATGCAAAGAAAGGAAGAAAACATAAGTAGAGATACAGAAAATAATAAAGTAAGTCAAACTGGACATCCCTAGAGAAAAATGATACGTAAGAAATTATAAGTATATAGGATGGCATTGATAGCAGGTTAGACGAACTAAAGATCTAGAGATTGAAACTAACTAAAATGAAGTGGTAAAATAAAAGAATGCTATATAAATAAAAAAGCAAGGAATAATCATAAAGTAGGAATGGTAGTGAAGACCTGTTTCCTCTGTGCTAGAAGTTAGGAGAGTTTACCATAAACATGCACAACTAGTAGGGTATGACATTCTGGTGTCAAGGAGAAGAAAGAGGCTAACCCACGGTCATAAACATTTGGATCTGTGTCCGACTGTTACTTTAGCATTTGGATGTGGAAATGTTTCTGCATAAAGACAACAATGTTTTCATGTGGACAGTCTTCACAGAAAATGTTAATTATGCCGGAATTCTTGGTTCCTAGCTGCCAAAATGCTTCCCACAGACTCTTCCTTCTCAGGTCTCTGTAAGTTTTCCTTCTTTAATCCCATCTTAGTGCAACTTGTAAAGCTAAGTAAAATGTTATTCCAAATAGCCGTTCATGACTGATGTCACCCTCATCCATGAGTGACAAGCCAACGGGTGTGATTATACGTCATCCTTCAGCAGCCCCAATGCTTGAAAAGCCAGCACTGAAGTCCTTTGAAACATTTCAATAGCAAGCCCCCCCTTTTTTTTCTGAGGAAATGAAGGTTCCAGAAGGATGGGACTTTGTAATATTCTAATGACTACTTGGTTTTCTATAAGGATTTTCTAATTAGCAGACCCCATATGTATACATTTTATTGACGAATTATTGCCCAACTGTCAAATACATGTACTTCTTCCTCATAATTCCCCACAAACAGTAAGAACATTGACTAGCCAGGGGGTCAACTTACACATAACTTAAGCATCTTTCTGGACAGAGAGAACAATTTGGCTGCTGCACATGGACCATCTACCTAATGAGAAAATGAAAGGCACCAGCAGAGAGCAGGTAAGATGACGGCACCTGGGAAAAAGCCAGCCTGCAGAAGGTGAGATCCTACTGAATGTATCATCAACAGGTCCCATGTTAAACTTCTTGAGCACATGCAGGTGATGGCCATGATAAATTGCTTTGACTCACTCTGTGTTTAATTATTGGTTATTGTTTTAATGAGATGGTGTAAACACCCCAGTTCAGTGAGCTTTCTCATTGGGATGTGCTCAAAAACCATTAAGAAATTTGGTCTTTAGAAATTCAGAATTTGATGGGAGTCCATCACAGGTGTCAGGTCAAAATCACAAAAAGCATTTTAAGCTCATTTTGCCGCTTGACCTAATTCTGTCCCTCAGCTTATCCAAGTGATGATTTTTTTTTCTTCAGTTGGACCTATAAAATAAGGTCACATATAGCCCTATCCTGTAGGGTCAGTTTTCAGTGCTGTGGGGACCTGAGTCAGGGTTTTATGTAAAGTGTTTCTAAGACCAAAGTATTAGCTTGTTTCTGGTGGAGGAAAGGAACTTCAATTCCAGTTTGTTTAAATGAAGCCGAAGGAAAGAGGAAATTTTTTTGACATTCATTAAGAATCTAAATGGACCAAGGAGGGCTGTAAAATACATTTTATTGGAGCTCATTTAGATCGGAAGCAGAGGAACATCTGTAACTACTCTGACGGGAACTGTGGAAGAACTTTCTATGAGGAAACTGGGATCTTTACTTTTAATTATTTGAGTGTGTAGACGACTGTGCTGTGTGTAAAGACTTATTTATGCACCATCTCCAGGCCACATAGCTGAATGCCAGGCTGTGCTCTTCAGAGAGCTTTGCTTGTCCTCTGTAATTCAAAACAGGATCTTGAAAGCAAAAGAAGCAAGTAGAAGTTGATTTTTCTGCAGGGCTGGTTTGCTGAGAACTCCATTTGTGAGTTTACTTTCCTGGGTGTGTATGCCTCCCTAGTGCACCCACTCCCAGCTCCGTGGCTTTGCTCTGAAGGCGTGAGAGCATTGTTTTCCTACGAACCACACACGTTAGCTTGTATTGGATTTCTCCTGAAGGAATTTCCACAAAGTGAATATGGCGAACCATCTTCTGTTTGCAAAATGAAACCATATGCCATTTAAACTCAAGTCTCACTAGGTATTTCGTTTCTGAGGAAGTTGACATCATGGTTCCTACATTATAAAATTTCTTTAGCCTCTGAGATGTAACATTACAGAGGACTTTACAACTTCCACACCCTTATTAACCATCACTCTATCTTGTTACATTGCTTATTGGATGTAAAAACATTTGAGGAGCAAAGGTCATCAAACTTTCATTATCAAGCATGAGAAGGCAAGATAAATAATAACACATACTTCGTTTAGATGCAATTTGAATACCTGCTTGCTTTTTTAAAACAGGATTTATCTAAATGATTTAGAATCATTTTAAAGGTAACGCTACATAGAAAAGCATCAATATTTGCAGAGTAAAGCAAGGTTAAAAGCATTCTCATTCCATATTTAAGACTTTTTTAATCACTTGGATATACTCACTAAACAGCCACTGAAGTCTGAAGTGACGAGTCCACACAAGGCATAGCTAAACTGGGAATAATAATTTGTGAACAGTCACCAGTGATTTTCTTTCATAGTTTTGAAAATCCCCATTTAATTTGGAAATAACTTGACAATTTACTAAATTATGTCTTTCAATCCCCTCTGCCTAGTGTGACAATTAAGAAAGAAATTTTCAGGAGAACAAGCTTTAAATCGGTCACTCTGGCACAGCAGATTTTATTATGGATGGTTACGTGCTCCTCAGAAGGACGCTGCTCGACTCCCTGGGAAGAAAGCATATGACTGAATTTCAGCAGTTCAGTTTTTACACTAAAATATGGCCAGTGAGGAGTTCCAATCTGTCAGGGAAAAGTGGCCATGCGGGCAGAGTTATCATTTTACTTTGGGGGTCCTACATTTGCCAAGTGGTCAGCCAGCTGTCCATCCTTCTTTAAACGCCGAGCTGAAAAGTCTGGACAGTAAATTGCTTTGGAACGTTTACTGCTCATTGAACCCGAAGAATTCTTAAGAAAACTCTCAGTAATAAAAGTCAAAATTGTAGCACATATCCCAAGAGTCAGGTAAGAAATCCAAGCCCCACAGCTGCTGAGAGCTAGAAGACATGCTGAGGTTGAGGAAGAAAGTGGAAGCTGATGGGCCTGATTTCAAAAGAGATGCGAACATCTCCCTGAGCCTTAGTTCTAGTGGATCTAAATGGGAATCAAATAAGAGTATAAACGTTGTGTTGTACTTACAGGAACATATTCAAAGCCCAGACGGAAAATAGCAAAGGACAATTCACTATTTAAATATACCTTCTAGGCTTGTCAGCCAAAGCTAACCATTTAAAATTAGATAGCTTTTACTTGTCAACATGTATGAAGAAAGGGCCACGATTCTAGAACTTCAGTAAGGAAAGCCACCAACATCTTACTGTCTGCATGCAGAAGTTACACCTTTGGGGTGAGGGCTCCAAACCAATGAGTTTTCTTTCTTTATTTATTTTTATAAAAAAAAAGTTTTTATTTGTCTTTCTGCTTTCCTGGGGGAGCCATGGTGAGGGCTGCAGGGTAAAGAGCCAGGCAGTCACGTTTATAGGAGATAAATAATCAGTGTGAGCTCAGTGAGTGACTCTCGTTAAAAATCCAGACATTGGAACAGCTCCCGAAACACACTGCCGCCGCCGCTACCACCACCAATCTCTTTTGCATCTCATTGGCATTTGAGGACGTTAATTGACTCATTATTGCAATTCATATTCAGGAAAGCAAGTTGATTAAGGAAGGCAGATACAGAATCTCCAGACACAGCTATGGCTGCCTTGTTTGTCCCGGCAGTGTACTTGAGTTATTAGAACACTTAGGAAGCTACAGCCAGAGGGGACAGGGAACGTGTCCCCCCTCGCTGCTGCCCTCATGGAACAGAGTTTGATAAAAGCATTAGAATTCTGCACAGTCTTACCACCATGTAAAGTGCATATAAGTACATTTGGCTTTCTAGTCCTTTTATACTAGTATGACCACTTCATTTTATTTGAATTATTTGCAAAAACGAAAAAAAAATCTGCTACACATGCCTCACCAAGAAATACATATTTTTAAGTCAATAAGACATAGTATTAGATTCTGAGTTAAAGACATTCAGCAATCATTGTCAGTATCGAATTTTGTAAGTGATTTCTAGTGTTTTTCAACGTGAAAATTCTCAGTTTGGATAAAGTAAGCTCCAGTGATTTCAGAGGTCAAATGTGTAACATAATCCATTGGGCTACTTGTTTCTTCATTTTCAAACAACACTAGGTCCTATTTTCTTATCTAATAACTTTGGGCATGTAAATGCATGCATAAGCATGTGTTGGTTAATTGTGCATTTTCTGTGTTTAAACTTGTGCTGACTAACATCTTGAGTATACTAAGACATGCTCTAAATGATTGGTGCTCACTGTTGTGGAAAACGCTTGGAATTCTCAGGTCAGATGAACACAGAAAGCATTGATGACGTATTCTTTATGTTGAATATCCTTAGAAACTCTATTGAAAACTTTAAATTCTTCTTTCCACATTCTAGGCCAGAGCATTGTTCAGACATTACTGTGAAGGGGGAGAACATCAATCAAACACAAAACCTTTAAAAAAAAAATGCCTTAATCCATTATAAATGCATCTAAAAGAATTACTTATGTAAATATTTTCTTGGTATTAAGAATAATGCAGTGGGATGGAAAGATAACCATATAAACTCCAGCTGCAGGGAGATCTGACAATTCTGGCCTCTGCAGTAATCTGCCCTCATGTAACTGCACCCCACAAATACACAGAATCAAAATAATAATAAAAATAAAAATTATAAGCAATAATAAAAAAGCTTTAGAGATGACGAAGCAGTTAGGAGCACTCACTGTTTTCACATAATGACTAATAATCTCCTGTTATGCTTTCTTCTGACCTTCACAGTACCAGGCACACATGGCACACTACATACTTGCAGTCAAAACACTAATGCACATTAAGTAAACATGAAAACACTTTCAAGAAAAGAATAAAAAGATGGCACAGTGGATGACCGTGCTCACCACCAAGCCTGGTGACCGAGGTTGAAAACTCAGAACCCACATGGTGGAAGGAAAGAACTTATTCGAGCTTCTACACATTGTCCTCTGACCTCTACAAGTCTCCCGCTGCACTCATTCCACACACAATTAATAACAAAGTTAATAAAATGTAACAAAATGATCATGGCTATTTAATGATATTACTGCACACCCAACAACCTATGAAAGTTAAATAATGTTTAACTGTTTGATTTGTATTTAGATTTAAACTGAAAATATATAGGTATATAGAGTTAATAAATTTTCTCATACAGATAGGTAAACTTATGTAGAACAGAAATGAACAGCAGAATTATATTCTGTAAACTTTCTAATAGATTACTTTGTTTATTGATAAATTTCTTTGGACATGATTCAAATGAAATGGCATCCACTCCCTTCATGTTATTGGTTATTTTAAGCATTAATATTTTAAAGAATTTTCTTCAAATAATGTCTCTCAAAGAGTCAAGAGCAGAATAAAACAATTCTGTATGATACACACAATAACATAGCACTTCAACTGAGGAATGAGCAATTAATTGGAAACTTCAAGAGCTAAGTGATTCGTTGACAGCTATCTATGCAAATGCAAAGGAAGCCCAGGGAATATTTGTATCCATGCTTTGGAGTATGTACACAATTCTGATACAGGAGAAAAAAAAAGTCATTCCAGGTTAATGAAATACTAAGAACAAATTCACAAAATAGAATACAAGTCCAGGGGCAAAGTCGGTCTGTATTATCTGAGCATAAAGTGAATGGGAAGAGGAGTGTGGCAGGAAGGTATTAGACTGAGCCAGGCTTTGAAAGCTACGTCCCTGGGTTGACACTTTATTCCCTACAGGACTTAGCTCTTAACAAATTTCAGCAGAGCTAAGGTGGACATGGGGCATTATAGTTACTTGAATAGATGGCATCTCAGTGAACTGATATTGGCCCAAGCAGGTTGATAGACTGTAAAATCTTAAAGATGAGTTATTAGGAGAAGAAGTTAGATAGCTCTGACAGAAGTTGAAAGAGGAGATACCAGCCTTAGGAAAGAAGAGACTGGCACAAAATTCAGAGCATGTGTGTCTGTAGGGAAGAAGCCATAGAACTCTGTGGCTGGAGAAAGAGGGTTAAAGAAGGGAGATAGAGATAAAATGGGGATACTGCAAACATTCCTGGATTAAATTAGCGGCCTTTTGACTACTAGAAGAAGTAGGAAAAAAGTAGAGTAGAAAATAAGGAAGAGGACTCTGATATGCCCACATGAAGTGATGTCCTGCCCATTATTGTTAGAGTGGCTAAAAAGACTGATGCAGAGCTAGCAATTTCCAAATGTCTGTACTGTGGAAGTGAGAATGGTTGGATATTATGGGAACTAGAACACTTACAATCTTGTCTTTCCAGGAACCAAACCCGAAAGAGGTTACTTCACAAAATGTCTGAAGACATGTAATGGCTGGTGGAAAGATGGGAGCCAGCAAGCCAGAGTCATTGCTTTGATGAAATCTTTGTTTGTGATGACCTAGAAAATGTGGTCAACTAAAGGCAAGGTAGAGTGAAAATATGACCATAGAGACAGACAAAGAAAAGGGAAAAGCATCTCACTACCTTCTCTGACATGGGCTCATGTGCTCATTCATCACCCTTTATGCGTTTCCCTGTGAAACAAAAAATAAAATAAAATAAAAAATTACACATGGCTGTCCTAAAATCAGAGATTATTCTTGGCAATGTTGTGCAATCCTTTGTTGATTTTCTATTTTCCTCATATTTCCATACTAAAGAAGAAAAATCATTGAAGAGTTTCCTCTTTTTTGGAAAAAAATTAGGTATCATTGGTATGTGACTATAATAAAAATAGTATTCGAAACCTAAATAATACTTTTTTAAAAATGTTTTCTCATTTAATCCCCCAATGAATCTTGCAAGAAAATTTAGCTAAGCATTGCTGTTCCCACTTTTTACACAAATAACAAGAGTACCATGAATGCTATACATGGGAAGTATTCAATAAGAAACTATTGGCTGACTTTACAAATCAATCACTTGCTGCTGAAGCTTTCTCAAGGAGCCCTTAAGTGATTTTGAAGTACAGTATCATTTCCCCCAAGACTTTGACGTGCTAGAACTTAGATTATGAAGGTGACATGGTATCTTCTTTATTGTTCCATATCAAAGCAAGTCTCCATTGCTCTTGCCCATCACTTTGCCCATACTCTATTTGCTCCAGCTCTACTTAAAGAATATACCCAAAGAACAAGCCTTTTGGCAGCGGGAACTCATCATGTTCAAATGAAGACAAACTTGCCAGCTGTTCTTCTGTTGGCTTCCCCTTTATATTTTCCCACTAGTAGCCACTCCCGTGAATCTTCCTGTACTCTTGTCTAGATACAGCAAGGATAATTTCTGAAAGACATCATTCTTTAGAATCCCATGATAGCCTTATATTTTTGGCTGTATTTCACATTGCATTCCCAGATCTGAGGAATAACTCAGGTATTTCTAAATGATTGGTGAAGATTTGTTGAGAAGCATTTGAAAACCTATCTGGGTCTAGTGAGACAGAGGTCATGTGTTTTGGACACGGGGTAGAGAAAGGCACTATATGTTTTAAGTCTTATACTATCTTGTCCTGATGGAAATAAGGTATGAATATCCTGAGATCAGGCTATAGCATTCCCAAAGCTGGCCAATATTTCCCCCAATATTTAGGCTGCCTCTTCACTCAATTGGCAGTTTCTTTGCTGAGAAGAAGATGTTCCCTTTAATTAGATGTGTTTTAGATTGTTAGTCTTATTTCCTATGTTACTTGGGTTCTATTCAGGAAATCATTACCTAGATGTCGAAGATTTGTTCTAGGGGTCCTTAAGTGGTTAATGACAATAGATCACGGAAATATAATTGACCATGCATCAACACAAGCAAAGATAAGTAGCTATAGCTGATTAACCATAGTAGAGAAAATGCTCACGGGTCTTGGTATACTAGACACATGAAGTGTCATTTTCTTTGTTTAACTTTCGTTAGCACTGACATTTCTTCTCTCTGTTTCAGTACAGTTTGGATTGCTCTCTCAGGCACTCCTAGATTATATCTTCAAGACTGTCACCTCAGGTGACTCTCTCAAGGTCGCTGAGCATGAGGGGCAGATGGAGGATGTTTCAAAGGCTTTTTGGTTCCAGGCTATTGCTTATCCATTGGAGCTTATAGAGGAAATGTAAGAAAAACCTACAGATCTATTTATCAGCAGTTTTTTTTAACTGAAATGGTACATTGATAAGATATGTGTGCTCATTCCATGATACATTTATTTCACAAAAGTTGAAACAAGTTTTACTCATTCTGAGAATTCATGCTTCTTAATTAGACTTGGATTCTGTATTTCAACATAGAACAAACCTTAGGGTTTCACAATGCAAACAGTAGCAAGAAAATACTTTGGAAATGAAAGTAACGGAGGATATCATTTTGCTTGTTTTGTTAGATGTATGCCAGGGAGCCTCCAGATTGTTCTAAAAGGTTAGTTTTCCATCTTAAAAGACAATTCATCTACCACCACTCACCTTATCTAATGTTTCAGATCTATTTGCTTCCCAGAGTTCCCATTCTGTTTCCATGTTTTGTCTGAGATGGAAATGGCATGTCAGCAAGTTAATGTGTATCAGAGTCCAATCAGGAAAGCAAACACTGCTGTGAACTTCTGAAATGAAAGTATTGAAGTTGAAGTTGCAAAGACTATAGAAGAGTGAATGCTGACTAGGAGAGGGGAACAAGAGGTCAGCACAGGGTAAAGGTACCACCCCAAGGTGTAGTGATGGGAGTGGGCTGCTTTTCGTCCCACCCAGCTCCTGCACAGCTACCTTTACACCCTAAATAACAACACACAAATTGTTTTCATTTAAACACTGCCTGGCCCATTAGTTTCAGCCTCTTATTGGTTAATCCTCACATCTTGATTAACCCATTTCTAATAATCTGTGTAGCACCACGAGGTGGTGGCTTACTGGGAAAGATTCTAGCCTACTTCTATCTCTGGTCGGAGAATCATGGCATCTGCCTGAATCTGCTTCTTTCTCCAAGCATTCTGTTCTGTCTACTCCACCTATCTTTATTAACCAATGAGAGTAACACATAGACAAATGACCCTCCTCCATCACTAGGGGAATTGGAGAAGGAGGAAGCATTTCTAAGATCCAAAAGCCAGAACCATGAGTGTAACTGAAACCATGTGAAGAGTGACCTAGGAGGAGCTGGCAGCATAAAAGGTCGAGTCTCATAGGGGCGACCACCATGGATGCAGACAGATATTGCTAGAAACACTACAGGACAATAGACTGCAGAGAATGTTTCTGTTACTGTTCTTACCACCTAATCTTCTAGAAGACCCTAGTTTTACAAGAGAATAAGTGTATAGAAATGTGGAGTGGAGAATAGGTGTGTCAGGCCTAAGAGGAATTGAACATCCTCAGCTGATTATTTTTTCATTTAGATAGACCTAAAATCAAATTTTGTATTAAACAAGAAAAATGACCTTATTTTATCCCATAAATTTTTCAATTTAATTTTTATGCTTTTTCTTCTTCCCATCCAAAGTGCGTTAGTCGGCCTCTCTTTTCGAAGGATGCTAAACTATAATAAGACTTGGACAGAAGAGGGATTCAGAAATATCCATTGTAAAGATAATGAATAACACAAATGTTACGAGACTGAACATTTTTATCATCATCAAAATCTTCCCTTTCCTGGATCTTGGCCTCTTAGTGGTCATGAGACTACTTTATTAACAAGTATGCTTTGTTTAGAGGCTCTTTTATATATGCATTACAATAGCAATGAAAGCCTGAATATTATTCATAGAACTGTCCCTGAATTACCAGTGCTGGCTGGAGACAGGGGAGCATAAAAACATTGCCCTGCTGGCTATCTCCTCTAAACTATGCCAGAAAGCAAGATATAATATTACAAGACTTCCAGGAGATTCTAGAAACATAGAGAAATTACTTATAGAATGTTGTGTGAATTTTTTTATGTTTTTAAAAAATTATTTTTTTTTATTTTCTGAGATTATGATATAGTTGTATCATTTCAACCTCCCCTTTCCTCCTCCTTCCAAATACTCCTATAGTTCTCCCTACTTTCTT